TATTTATATTTATGTTGTATTATTATATGAATTAAATTATCCAAAAAATCAAGTATCATTATTATTATTGTTTTTTATTTTAAAATGGAGAAATGTTACGGGAATCTAACTAAATTAATCAATAATAAATCGAACCGGACTCGAAATTCAAAATTGATTTTTTTTCGAAGAACCACACGATAACCTGAACCAAGTGAAAAAACTTGCAAACGAGCAAAATCGAAGCCAAATCATTGAATCAGACCAAACCGGCTCGAATCCGAACCGGAATGATTCTAGAAACCGACTTAGTTCTCTTTCTTCCTCTCTTCTTCTTCTCTGCGCGCGCGACAGCCTCCTTCTCCCCCCTTTCCTTCTCATTTTCCGACCACGCTCGACGAGAGCGACGGTTGGCGATCGCCTTTCCCTTTTTGGGAGTCTTTGATTCCATTTTCCGCCTCCTCCCCGCTAGTAGAAGCCTTCTAGTGGTCGCGAACGAGACTGTTCCCATCGGCAGTTTTCGTTCTTCGATCTTCTTGCAGATACCATTGCGATTCTGGCAAACGTGAAGCTTTCAAGGTTGAGCTCTGATTGATTCCTCTGTTGTGTGAACAATTTCCATCAAGAAACGACGATTTGTGGAAGGAAACTTTGGAACCACATGAATGACGGTTAAGGGCGGCTGTTCAAGCTCGTTGTCGGACCAACTGAGGGTGATCCTCACTAAACCAAACACCGGAAGAAAATGGAATCCTTTGGTGATTTCGAGTTGCATGGTCATTGATCGTGGTGAAATTTCTGGGCATCATTGATTTTCCAGCCACCGGTAAAAACGGCGGCGGCGACGGCGTTCCGGTGACTGGCCGGCGACGGCACCCAAGGACAGAATTTTCCTCTCTTTCGCGAAGATCGTTTGGAAATTCGTCACCCAAATTTTCAATTGTACGTTTAAGACCAATTTCCTAATTTTGGTAATTAATTCTAAACTTTATAATTATTATTGATTAAATTAAATTTAAAATTGAATAATCAATCAAATATATTTTTTGCTAAGAACATCGGTTATATGTAGATGCAAATTAGTTCTGCATATTTATATTATATTTCATGAACATTAGTTACAACTAGAAGGTTTCGGAATTTAATATAAGAATTCCAATAGTCTTGATATTTATGTAAGCTCATTTAGGAATTTTAATAAATATTGGTAGGGGAGAGTTATAATTTAAGGCTTAAGCAAGTTAATAGTTTTTAAAGCCAATTAATAATATCATTGAATCATGCCTTGGAGGTTAATATAGTTTTGTCTAATTAGTTAATTTGGAAACTATTAAGTGTTATATGTGAGTTTGATGTGATGATACATGTAGGTTTGATGCGCGATGGGTTGGTTGAATTGATTGATCCGATGATGGGCTGCGTGAAATTGATTTGATCGAATATAAAAATGATAAATAAGGTTATTGCGCGGCGGGATTGGAGTTTGATTTGAATTGGCCCCGACGGGATGGGCTTTAGAATTATATTGTTGAAATTATAGTTTTAGTCAAATTTTTAGGGGAGGTGCTGTCGAAATTTCAATAGAACCTAAACTAGTTTTTAATTAATGACATAATAATAAGTTTTATTTTAGATTAATTCTTATAAACTTAATAACATAATAAATAGAGTGCTCTGATTATTTATTATCTTTATTATTCATTTAATTATTTATTTTATTTATTTATTTTTCATTATTATTGGTATTATGTTATTATTTATTATTGTTTGTTTAATTGTAATACTATTTATTTATTTATTTGCATTGATTTGGATGTTTTTAATTGTGCATTAGCATTACCGATGTTTAATTGATTAAGATATGTCTGCATTTTGATGTTAATTGTTTGATTTAATTGTGTTTTGTGATAATGCTAATGCTTTGTATGTGGAATTGGGAATGAAGATGGGTCACCATTGGGTTGTCAGACCGTTACCGTGTATATGGATCCTGATACCGTTACTGTTATATACCGTACCATTATATGGATCCTAATTTATTTGATTACGTTAACCGGGTAAATGGGAGATCGGATGCCCCACGTGATGCACCCTACCGTACCGGGTCACGTTAACCACATGATAGCCGTTTGTTGTTAGCGGCACCTGAAAATCTAGATTTTGATCGAGCCCGGCAGGGTGGGCCCCTTTTTTTTTCTGTTTGGTGGGCCTTGATGATCTTATAATTGGATGAGACCACCGGAGTTGCCTCATGTTGGTATATAATAATATATATATATAAGAGAAAGAGGGAATGGGGAAAACAATGAGAAGGCTGGTCAAGTTGAGGATTAGAGCCGGTCGGCCAGTTATTGGGGGATCGGCTCCCTGGTGCACACTGTGAGTGGATGAGCCATGTGAGGACGGCCTCATCGGACGGTTCAGTGACGCACTGACTGATTTTCACGTTGATTGTGATTTATATAAGATGTTAATGATTGTGAGTTTGCTGGGATTTTGCCATTTGTGTGACTGGCTGCGTGAGCATATAACTAGTCGGATGACTAGAATTGATATATTTATACATTGCTGGAATCGTGGTGTTGGTGCAATAAGTATTACTTCTTAGAAGGCTCACATTATCTTGTTTAATTTTTTCAGGAAAGTAAGTTTCTCTTTAAATTCGGTTAAGTTTATGTTCCTTTGTGCCGCCAGGGCTGAGAAAGAAAATTTTCCGCAGTTTCGATAATTATTTTACTATGGTAATATATACTGTATTTAAGATAAGCTATGTATACAAATAGTTAGTGACTCCGCGTGTTGTAGAATTTGCGTTACAATTAGTCGGTGTATAACATAGACGATATAATACTGTGAGCCCATATTAAAAAATGTGACGTATTGTTTAATTGGGCCCAAAACTGTTTGGAATTGTTGTAGGCTGGATAAATTTGCGGGCCGAGATTTTATAAAATCTTGAGGTTTATTTTCCTATAAATATGGGTGAATCGTTTTAAAATTTATATTGAGATTAGTAAATTTTTAGTGTTTTCAGATTTACTACGGGCCTCGGGGCAAATTATATTGAGATAGTAAATTTTTAGTGTTTCAGACTTACTACGGGCCTCGGGAGCTTTAAGCTTACCTGGGCCCTAGTGCCGGTCCGGCCCATGGAATCGGGTCGTGACAGATCGGCTAGGGTATCTCGGATCAATATTGATGTGAAAAATAAAAGAAATTAAATTAAATCCTTATATGGATATTTATTAAAGAACCAGAAGTTTCTTCAAATCTAATGAATTTTTTATGGTTAATTTGTGCTCAAAATAATTTTTATGAAAACAAAGCTCCTTATTTATGTATAGGGATATTACTCGCATCAAGCCAACAAGTTAATATAAATTCTTCTCTTTGATTATGGATCTTCAAAGGAGGTTACAGATATGTTGGGTATGAAGTTTCACTTCAATATCTAGGATTTTAAATAAAGAGAATTGCTTATCGCTAATTTGTTGATTGTTATAGATCTCGATATTAAGGGATGAGAATTGCTAATTACTGAAAATAATTATTATTATCATATTTTAATCATCTTGTATGAACTAGCAGTTCAAAAGATTTGTTCTTTTAAAAAATATTGTAAATTAGTTGCTTAACCCCTACTAGAATTGAAGTCCTTCAAAGATAAACTGCCTATGTCAATAAATCTATTGCACGCCTGAAGCGTGGTAGGTCGTTCAGTTCCAAGGACAAGAATTATTGAAATGATAAGGTGCGAATATGTTACATGTACAAATTATAGAAAGAAAAACTCTAGAATAGTAATCTCTAGAACAGACCTAATACATGACTAAAAAATTTTCAAAAGAAATTTAGGTACCTGAAATTAATGAATTCAATGAAAATAATGAGATCTCGATAAATTATGTCATGTCAAGAAAAAGATAGAATCGAGATGAATAAATATCAATTGTATTTTTGCATATGTTATAGCACTTAATATTGTGAAAAATGATGAGGATATTAAATATAAGTCTATAAAGAAAATCTCTGAAGAATTTAAGTTGCTTGAAGTACAAAATTCAAATTCTCGAAAAATTATATAGAACTGTATATGGAGTACTTGATAACATGCTTGAATCATGCAAATTGAAACCCCTGAACTGTATTCGATTAAATTATAAAGATTTCTGTATAGATTAAGGAAATATGAGCAAAGGTAGTATAATCGCCTTAAAGATATGACTGAGCAAATATCATGTGATCTATGGTGGAAAACAAATATATGATGTGATTTGCCGTGTTTCCATTCTGCTTTGATGAAGTATATGAAAATCTCAAAGGATTTAAAATATCTGAACCGTATAAGTCAAATTCCAAGAATTATGTTCGATTAAATTACAAAGGTTTTTGTATGAGTTAAAGCAATTTAGGTGCATCTGGTACAATTGCCTCAGTACATATCTGATAAAGGAAGTTATCTAATTTGTTCATGTATTTTTTAAAAAGTTAAGAATATGAATTTATTGCTATTGATGTATATGTTGATGATATAAATCTCATTGGGCTCCAGTAGAGCCCAAAATGTAGTGAAATGTGCCCCAAAATGTATTTGAAATGAAAGAATTTGGAAATACAAAATTTTTATCATCTTGAAAATCGAGCATTTTATATATGAAATTTTTATCCATAAATCAGTACATATAATCCAAAGGATTGAAAACATATTATATTCCTTGAAGGAACGATGCACTAAAAAAAAAGTTGTATTTTTGAAAAATTCCTTCACTCATAATCTACGAAGGAATGATTTTATTGATAGTCAAACTTATTCACTTAAGTGATAATTTTATTGATTTGCTTATCAAAGCACTTCCTACAACAAGCTTTGAATTGGAATACATGAACTATTGTTTCTAAGTGATGTTTTTATAAGAAGGAGTAAATACGTATTGTACTCTTTTTCTCTTTAACTAAGGTTTTTTCCTACAAGATTTTCTAATAAAGGTTTTTAATGAGGCAATATATTATCCCATATTTTAGAAACTTCTTAATTGTATTTATATTTCAATTCGTCACTTAAAAATACATAACCTTTTATTGAAATAACACATAAGTCTTTTTACTAGTTTTTCAGTCAACTGCTAGTGAAAAGTTGACATGGAATTACTTAGTCAGCAAACAATTATTTTCAAAATGCCACATCATATATTTTTTAATAATGGTTTTTTTTTTTTTTTTTTCTCTCACCAACCTTGCATTTTTTAATAATTTTTCTCTCTCATCTCTCCTCTACCCATCTCTCTCTCTCACTTGCGAGAAAAAGTAAAACGCTAATCTTCAATCTGAGTTCGTCTTCTCTCCTTGCTCTAGTTCATCTTTGTTTTTTCAGATTTTTTGAAGCTATAAAAACAAAAATAGATCAGATAACATTAGCACAACTTCAAACAACTAGTAAATTATTTGTAAAAAAGGAAAATAAAACCTTATGAAAACCTTCAACTACTTTAAAAAAGCTCTCTCCATGCATAAAAAAAAATGATACCGAAGGTTGAATAAATATTGGTTAAAAAATTACATAGTAAGAACCTAAAGGTCACAAAAGAAATAACAAAGGCAAAATGGAAGCATAAACCATAATTATTTGAAGTGGAAATCCACAATATAATTTTTTTATAATAGTTATCTTCAATTTGAAAAACTAACCCAATAAATAAAAATATTTTGAAAATTACAAAAAAAATGGAAATCCTACCAAGCACCATGGCCATCCATCCGATTGAGAAGAGTTGATTTGAGAGCTCCAAAGATTGTAGTTGTAAGAAAAAATTAATAAATTATGAAAAAAAATTACAGTGGAGTATGACATGAGAGCTTAATTTGATTTCAAATATAGAGAAAACTACAATATCTATGCAAACATGAAGATGAAGGAAGAGAGTCGCATTGAATTTTTATATTTTTTCAGAGAGAGAGAGAGGAATGGAGTGTGCATTTTCAGGATTGAATGCTCTACCAGACACCGTTAATGAAGGATAACACGGAACCCTATGAAAATTAATTCCAAAAACTCTATGACAAGATCGGAATAGTTTCAAAGATCAAACTAAACTTCCCCACCCAAAACTTAAGGAAACTTAAGCAAGCAAGTACACCAATAATAGAGTAAATAAAAATAAGATAAATGCCACAAGTAAATTGATAAGTCTACCAATTAGAGGAAAGCAATCTCACAATCACTCTAATCAAAGAACACGCCAAAAATCTAATCAAAGAACACGCCAAAAGCAAAAGCATGAACAAATATGAAGATTTTATTAATTCATTGAATGATTTGTTTAACAACATAATAAAACTATTTATACTAGATCTAAAAGTCTGATCCTTAAAGGATTTAGAATAACTAATCCAAACAAATTAGGGATAAGGTTTAACTAATTTAAACCAACTAAGGATAAAAATAACTAATCTTAACAAATTAAAGATACGGAATAAATAATCCAAACCAACTAAGGATAAAGATTAACTAATCCAAATAAATTAAGGATAAAAAGAAAAGGGTTACCGAATTATTGATGGCCCAACCTATTAAAAATATTACAGCTCAAAACTTATTATGCCAAGGTCAGGCCCTAGCATGGGCAACGTGTGCTGCACAATACGGGCGTGCTACATGTTACAGATTCAATGTTGTTTTCACTCCAAAGACAGGCCCACTAGGAAGTACCAATAGATTTTCTATGTTGTGCTTTTTGTTCCCTATCACTCCATGGATGAGTGATGGCGTATCAAAGGAGAAGATGTTTGGATCAGAAAGAAGAGATGGAGAGAGAGAGAGAGAGGGGTTTGGTCGGTGTTTGGTGGCTTGGTGTTGCTCCTTGACCATGAAATAACAAAAAAAATGCGGTTGTGGTGCTGTGGGAGGAGTTGTCATCGTACAATGGAGAAGAGGAATGGAGTGAGCAGTAGAGAAGAGAGAGAAAGAGAGATAGGAGAGAGAAAATTACAAAGTGGGAGAGAAAAAAATATTAAAAAATCTGATATGAATTTTTTTTTTTGTTAAAAAATATGAACATGTCAGTAAAATTACCAACAGTTTACTGGATAACTGGTAAATATAGTTTTATGTTATTCAAATAATAATTTAAGTATTTTTAAGTATTGAATTGAAGTATATGGATAATTAAAAAATAAGAAATATAATTCAGAGACGACGAGTAAAAATAAGCCCCTCTAGTTGTATAGCAACTCAAGCTAAAATGCAACATTACATGTTGGACTTTACGCATGGTGTTAGCACAACTCCTCCTGTTAATGAGTAAGGTGCAAAGAAGAGAGAGACAGATTTGAGTCTCATGACCCAAAAGGAGATGATTTAACGGAATCTTGAGACAGGACTTATCAAAGCTAAGCTACAACTGGTCAAAGGGAAGGACCAGTACAAGTAGCATGACACCCACATCAAGAAACTCAAAGACACACAAGATCAATTCCATGAAGTGATGCAAGGAGCCCTAAATGCAGTTGTTGAAAAGCTCGCTAAAGAAGGTGAATCTCTTAGACATTGCCTCCCCGTTTGCTATTTTTATCCTTAAGAGTGAGAATAAGGCTTTATAAGAGGGGGATGAGCTCATGAGCAAGGAAATTTAGAAGTATGGTCGCAGAGTTGAGGGAGGTCCATTATAAGGTACTCCGCCTTAAAGGGGATGTCACCAAAAAAGTGAGCTAGCACTTTGTTTTTAATCATCCGATGCTCGAAGCCCATTGGCCTGATTAATCTGGATTTACACCGAGCAAGCCCATAAAAGAGGCAAAGCGTTCCGTTCCGAGTGTTTAGAGGGACTCCATATCCAAGGCTCAAACTGAGGACCTCTAGTTAAGAGAGAAGGGATTCATGTTATCCCATCTCACCCCTTGAGGGTGAAGACAGCACTTTTGCATGAATTTTTTACTCCCTCAAAGGTGGAATTCCATGTCCTAAGGTGTACCACAACTAAAGAATGCCAAAAATCGAAAATTTTTTGTGGATTATGAAGTAGTACTTCAAAGCTATTTGCATTATAAAAATGCTAAGAAGGTAAACCATGCACCACTATACCTTACTAACACTGACCTAGTTCGATGGAGGCAAAAGTCTTTATATTGAAAACGGTCTTTGCACCATTAAAACAAGGGATAAGATCGAAAGGAGCTCATGCAGCAGTTCTTCCCCAACAATGCTGATAATGAAGCAAGCTTTTATGAGGCACCTAACACAAAGGGCAAGAATTGAGAGTATGTTAATGAGCTTTCTGAAGCGCTCTGGAGATTCTTGACTACCCCAATAAGGAGTTTTGTCCTTTATGGACATATTGCAACTTTGGATCAAGTTACAACTCCAAGGGAGGGGAGTCCAAAACCTTACTACCAGGGATAGCAATTTTACCTGACCTTGGGGACACTCGATCCAATTAGATCCGATTTTAGTAAGTTTGGATAGTAAATAAATGGATTTGGGACGAATTCGGGTATTGTTTTTACTACCTGTATCAAGTTTAGATTCAAGGACTCAAGTACCTAATTTATAATCGGATTTGAGTTCGGTAATGCATTTTAAGCCGAACCGTGGTCATCCTAACTACAGCTACCTCAGTTGCTGAATACCTCGTAGATTTTAACAAGCTGGATAAGTCAGATTCAAAGAGGAATAAAGGCAAAAATGGGAGAGAAAGCAACTATAACAAGGAAAGCAGCCTAAGCAAAATAAGCCCAAGCCAGGATTTTCAAGAGCAAGAAAGATGACAATGGTGGGGACTGATCTCAATTAAAACGTTTCCTGTGTGATAGCCACAGAGAGCTAAGAACTGTCGGAAGAGAAGTAAACTTTTAGCCCTTATTAAGGAAAAAGAGCAGGCATGGGGTCGCTACCATTAGCCACTCTCTTCCAGGATAAGGAAGAAGTGCCCAAACTTAAGAAAAAGGGACGAATGCACGTGCAAGTCAAGATCGATGTCTTAATATATTGCTCCTCCACAAGGCTCCAGCCATGTGTAAACTTTTGGCACTGACCTTATGTGTCTCCCTTTGCCTGTTGAACTTCTCCTCCACCGACTTAGCTAGGCACCTTGCTAGCTATAAATATACAGCCTAACTATACAGGGCCCCACTGTTTTGTTTCGCACATATCTTGGCCCACAGAAAAAGGCAACACGTGACAAAAGTCAAAGAAACGAAAAGAACATGTAATGGAAGGATCAACTCAAAAAGAAGAGAGTTCAAAATGCTGGTGTAAATGCTAATTGCGATCAATTTTTTTACTAATCACTAAACTTAAGCCAAGTATATAAAGAGAGGTACACAACTTCAATCAAATAAAATCCCAGATCTTGATATTTTTCTATTTCTAAAATTATAAAATTTGGTACATTATATGAGCCTATCATGGCTGGCAATTGAGTGGGGTGTATTCAAGTGTGTCAAAGTGAGTGAACCAATAAAGCGTCCCGTCCTAAGTGTGAAGAAACATGGTAACTTGTTGAGATTCTTCATCTTCTCTGTTCTCAATTCAAATCTCTTTACAAATACTCATCCTCCATTGCCGTTTCATCAAAGAGCAGCAGCAATTACAAAAATTACTAAAAACAAACCCTTTTTTTTTTTTACCAAACAAGAATTGAAATATACATAAAACCCCCACATTGCAATATCTCTTCAAGGTATTTCAACCAACCATTGAGTCACATAATCCAAACACCCTGCTTTTCCGATCAAACCCATCAAAGCATTTGCAACAAAAATACATTCCCATGAACTATAACACCAAAATCCTAACACAGGCAGTTAAAATAGAAACAAAACTTCACTTATTAGTAACTGTAACTTATTCCAAAAAGAAAAGGCATAATTGCTTAATTCTCTCTTCACCTTTGATATGACACTATCTGGCCTAGAGAGGCACTTGAAACCCCATAACCATCAATAACAAAACCTGGTTTGAGGTACGTGACAATTAGAGAATTACTGAGTTGGATATCCTGTTTAAGCTTGATATGACACTTGCAACATGTATTTGCTTAGGGAAGATCATATCAGCACAGCACAGTCTTTGAAAGTATCTTAGCTAAAGCATAAAGATATTATATCAACATGACAATTCAATGCAGTTAGTAGTTATTATAGCAGCATACTAATACTCGAACCAACCAACTCCTTCACAATTGCAGCTATCATAGTCAGAATGCATCTTGCACTTGCGCACTGATGCATGAACAATAATGCAGACAAACACTGATTTTGCCATAATAAAATCTTCGATCAAATGTAGTCGAATAGAGTTTTGAATTAACTAAAAAATTATTCTTATTGCTACTACTATTCCAATCAATCTGTATCAACAAGGATGTTTGCAAGTACATTCTTTTACACAGGTGAAAAGGGTTTCCAGCCTCAGAATACAATTAAAAAGAAAAAAGAAAAAAAACTGTTATAAATAAATATATAATATATACGAAGGCTCGTATCCAGCTAATTATAGAGATCAAAACTGAGATTTGATGAGGATATCCATTTTGTGTAATACTGTGAAGTAATTATTTATCCCATTAGTACAGGGCCTATACATGAATGGAAAATATTACCTAGAATGTGCTGAACTTCTCTCGAGCTATGCTCGCTCCGCACAAGATCTACTAACAAAGGAAAGAATCGAGATACGTACCTCCTAAAGGAATCCCTTTCTAAATCACTTAATATGTGCAAAGCTGACACGAGCAAAGCAGTTCTTGCGGCCAATTCTTCCTTTTTAGCTGACCCTAATGGAAGAATCCAGTATACCACCTGCTCATCAATAGGTTTCTGCTGGGGGGATTGAGACCCAGTACAGTTCAGATATATCTGCAATATTTTTTCACAAACTTCCACGAGTTGCAATTCTATATTCATCTCCTCTGACATGGTTGGATTATCCATTAGCAAATCATGAAGGAAGTTGAGGTAACTTTGGTATGACTCATTTTCAAAATGAACCATGGGAGGAGCACTGAGATCCAGAATAGCGCAAGCTTTCTCCAGTTTCTTCTGCAGAATGATCTCGCAGTTCAGTTGGTGAGCATGTGATGCAACAGATGAAAATATATCTATAAGAACTCCAATATTGGCTGCTGATAAGAACTGTATGTGTGCTTTGGACAAATCAGTTGCAACCTGATAACAGGAATATAAATATAAGCTTTCATATAACCTGATATCCAGGATGACAGTGCAAATGACATTAGCATTGTACGGCTCTCAGACTTGGCTCCTTTATTAAATAAGCCTTGACAATAAATTTAAGTTTGACTCATGAACTATAATGAACAAAGTTAAAGCAAGTTTTAACAAACCAAGCTTCCAGTCACTCATGAGTGGCTGGTTCAATTTAGTTGCATCCTTCAACTTGATTTTTTTTTTCTTTTAAAGGAAAAGACTTTTAGGAGTGATTGTAAGAACAGTACAATTGTAGAACTTCAAACATTATCCCTATAAATTCATACAGAAGAAAGGTACATATATAAAGACTTTTAGGAGTGATTGTAAGAACAGTACAATTGTAGAACTTCAAACATCATACCCTTATAAATTCATAACAAGAAGGAAAGGTAACATCATATATATATATATATATAATATATTTTTTTTTTTTTTTTTCTAGCCAAATAAAAATATTACAAAATAGAACATTCAGTTTTAATAGTAATAAAAGTTATTTACCGTATTCATTAGTAAGCAATTTTTACGATATCAGTTAAAATTGGTAATTTAAGTGCCGTTAAAAAAAAAAAAAAAAAAAAAGCCAACCGTATTTAAAACGACAAGGAAAAGTGTTCCCCCAATTATAAATTGCTAAAGCAAACAACGGCATGTGTTCTTTGCCATTCCAACCCAAAACACTTTAATCTTTTTTTAAAAAAAAAAAAAAAAAAAGCCAACCGTATTAAAACGACAAGGAAAAGTGTTCCCCCAATTATAAATGCTAAGCAACAACGCATGTTCTTTGGCCATTCCAACCAACACTTTAATCTTTCTTTAATTCCTCAAGGTCATATTTAACAGATAGCACGTGTAGGGTGCGTGTGAAAATGGCAGAGGAGAAAACCTGTATAATTAGTAGCTGTACAGCAATGTGACTCTTTACTCTTGAAACCACATAAGCTGCAGTTTGGAGATTGTCATCCTCCAGATCCTCGTTGAAGCCATGATCAGAAGAGAAATCAGCATCCGGATAAAATTCTGAGCTATCAGGCATCTCAATATCATTCATGCTTCTTAAGACCTTCATAAAACCAGGTAATGTTGATGCAGCAGCTTCCTTCAGAGACACAAAGATCTCTCTCCATTCATCCTCAGAAAGTCTAGAGCCAAGTTCACCTGCTAAATGCAATAATGCAGCAACCCCAGTGCTAGCAGGTCCCTGAATCGGACTTCTAACTAATCCAGTCAGTATTGATATCACAACTGATAGTTGAGACCTCACTGTATTGAAAAAACTGACAAATAAATCCACTAGACATTGAGCTGCAACTGCAGAAGTTTCAGGATCCCATGCACTTCCTTCATGATGTGGAGATGCTAAAGTTGGTGAATCTAGACCATATTTAACAAAATTATCTTTTTTCTCATGTGCACTACTGAATATGGGTAAAATAGCAGAACTGAAAACATCAGGCCAAAATGATCTTGAGAAAAGATGACCATGATCATTAAGAATATTAAATAGAACTTCCAAAGCACTCTTTCGAATAGCCGATCTCGGATCAGATGTTAGTTCTGATAGCCCTGAAACAGCAAACAAAGCTATTTAAGTTCAGAAAAAAGTAGATTCATTATTGTTCATAAATAAACAATAAATGACACTCTACATGACAGAGACATCACCTTTCAAGCTGTGAAAAAAATTACTGTTTCCCCCTCTTTTATTGAAAACTCACAATGAGGATTATTCCCCAAATGTATCAAAGCACAAAGCAAGGTTACAGAACAATGTTTTGTATGACAAACGGAGACATGTAACATTCAAGGTGGCCAGGAAACATATAAATTTTATGTTTCAATTAGAAGGGAGTTTATCATTTAGATATTGAATTAGTGCATATTAGAGCGAGAAAAAGAAAACTTCATTGAGCTGATCAAGTGCATTGAATGCTCTGCATGAAAACAGAGGCACGTAGGCCTTCCAATCAAAATACATAGATTTCCATTATCAAAGCATTAGATACACGTTGGTATATAGAATTAATGACTAATCCTCCATCTGTTAGGACTAGTAATCCCAAACAAGAAATATTCTAAACCAACGGGGTAGCAAACTTATTTCTATCAATAACAAAAAGTTCCTAAAAAACAGAATAATAGAATCAACATTTCCTTGCTAATTTATGAGCAAATGTTAACTCCAATGTACAAAATGAATTGTAATTAATTGATGAAATGAATGAAGTGTGGCAGTTTGGGCGTGTCTTCAAGAGCATCTGTGCTATGCGGAGTAAAAATGGTGAATAATGTGAGAGCATTAACTTTCTTGTGGGGTAATAAAATGAATCCAATTTTATCTGTATTGGCAAGATATGGGTAGACAGCAGGTTGAGGCACGAAAAATGCAAGAAAGCATTGCTGTATAGACATTGTAGCATTCTCTAAGAATCTTGGCTGAAACCTAAAAGGCAGATTACCTGTGAGTAGTGGAATCCAATAGGATGCATGATCATCTTTGTCAGTCAAGGCTCGAATATCTGAAGCAACCTCATTCGCCACTGAAATGGATGAATCATTACCCCTGCTCTTTTCATCCCAGACAAGTCGTCCATCTGCAAGTTTGACAGCACAAAACCGGAGAAATGCAATAGCATTGAGGCTCACATCACTGTTAAATCTACTATTTGTGAAGGTTGTGAGGCATCTAACACAATCTGTGAAAGTTGTGGTCTCTGTCTCAGTTATATAAGGAAAATATTCCCGCACTATTTTCTCCATCGTCTCAAATGCCAACAAGACAATATTCTTACGCTCATCAGCCGCAGCAGCTGTAAAAACCTGAGTATAAAATAACATAGAAACCATTAAGTAATTACAATTGCAAAACATCTACTTCTCTACATTGAAGAGTTACGAAATAAGCAGTTTAAACACTTGTTTTTGGCAATGACTATTGCACTTAGTCAAAATAATGATACTCCCAGTACAGTTGAAAGATTTGATATTTCAAGACATGAAGCAAGTCCAACCTCGCTTCACATGCCATTAATTTTAATAAGATGTTCATACTGCCTGCTTGAACTTCGAACAAGTTCCAAAAACTGAAACAACTTATCTGTTTAAAGATTATACATAGAATACCTCCCCCACCAAAAATTAAAGGAGGTGCGGGAAAAATTAGATACGAGATATCGGCTAAAGATAATGCCATCATGCAGAAAGCCAGTGAACTCATCTCTTAGCACATACTCCCTCAGTCCCACAAGGAGTGTCCATTTCACTATCTTGGGATGCCCCAAAATGAACATCCACTTTACATTTTAAGCTAAATGAAAAGATTATTTTATCAATGATACCCTTCAAAAAATTCATTCAACTTTGTCATTTACCCACTAAAACAATTATTGAGGACATTGGTAAACTAACAAAAATAACTCTATGAAATGACTTTTCTCAATTTCTCCACGCCAAAGTCAAATAAGCTACACAATTTGAGATGAAAATCATAAATGTAAATAATCTAAAGCATCCACCACGAATAGGTATTTATCAAAAAAAAAAAAAATCTTTTCATGAAAATTAAGCAAAAACTCAGTAGAAGTAATGTGATCAAAACTGATTGTCAATATTAATAAGGAAATAGGCTCTAAAAAAAAAAAAAAAAAAAACTTGATGATTAATGATAAATAAACATTTTTCTTCTTGAATATTTTCCTTTCTATGAAAAGAAATTGTCATGAATCAATCATCTACTTCATATTCATCAATATATTTTCAAAATATATATTATCTTTATGATAAAACTAAATAAAACCAATGCAATAGAAAAACCCTAATGACTGATATTTAATACATAATATGTATGAACAACGAGTTCTATTAATACATCAAATACCCTCTAAATTTTCAAAAAATAAGCATATCTTGTACAAAACATTTTCCATGGGGAATAGCATTTTTAACTAGGATTAGCAATCAAAAATACTTAGAGCTGAACTTTTAAAATAAATTTCAAGATTTTAGTTCAACAGATGTCAAAGAAGCTACTAGACCTTTCTAGGTAGAATTTTGCAGGGGCGTTTGGTACTAAAGCTGAATACAATTTAAAAAGAAAATTAAAACTCTTGTAACCCAACACTGATATAATTTTATCAATTCAATAACCTTTTTTTTCTTTATTTGTTCTCTCTCTGAGACGAACATTTAGGTCACAGCTAGTCCAACCATTAATAATCTGCTACGGAAATTGATTCAATATTTCTATGAAAAGTTATCTTGTCCAGTTGAAATCTAATTTTCTCCAAATTTCCATATTAAAAATTTTTTGGCTTCACTGCTGCCAAAGAATCGATCCATTAGATTAAGAAAAAAACATACCTGAATTTCATGAAAACAGAATCTGTAATTATATAGCAGCAAATTGAAATGAACTTTTCCCCTTATGTTTTTTAAGCAAATAAAACTTCCTGACAAGATTCCAATGACTACTCCCCAGTTCAGAGTCTCTTGTGTGATATAAAGCTCTAGAAATTGTAAACCAGCAATGAAATCTAAAAAATTGTAAGTATCAGCCAAACAAATTGTGATAGCTACAAACAAATGAAGATCTAGAACATACCATAAAAACACTTTTCCAGCCAGATTTCACATTACTAACACGACTAAGGACCATCTGCGAAATGCAGCGAACAATAAGTTCTCTGATTTCAGCAGAGCTGCTCTTCTGCATCACAATCACAAATGGCCTCAGAAATTCATTCTGGAAATTGTAATTTGCCAGCTCCTCACGCTCTAAGAATTTCATAGCAAGTTGACGCAGTGAATCCATCACAAAAATAGCAACAGAGAGATTTTCTGACAAGCCAACTGATACGAAAAAATCGGATAGAACATTCCATATACGAGTCCAAACTAATCTGATGCGATTCATATTGTAATGCCTGTGAAAAGAGAAAACAAGGCCCCCCAATATCCCATGTCAGTTCAAACATCATTTGCATGAGTGAGATGAGGACAGTTTTCACAATAATTCAGAAAGAGATCCATCCTCACATTTTCCTTGGAGATATTTGTAGATAGAAAGAAAAATATAAATCTCATGGAACTCTTTAAGCAGATCAAATGATTTGCCGAAGACGTTATAATCACTTCAAAAGCATTTTATTTTAGAATCATATATACACAAAGCAGTAGCAATTTTAAGATATGAGATATATTTAAAGACTTCTGAAATGAAGAAATTCTTACGCAATTTCCACTATTTTTGTGAGGCTAAATACACGAGGATCTGTTGGGGACTGCAACTCTGATATTGCAACTTTGCAGAGAGCTTTCACAAAAGCTACTATTGCCTCGCTGTTCAACCTCTGGCTATTAGCAAATACATGGTTCAATTCAAAATTCCCTATCTGGTCGAGCAAATTCAAATTTGAGATAAAGTGATTGATCTGCTCTGCGGTTACTGCTCCTGGATAATTCACTCCAACCATTGTGCTGTCATATGAACCCCCTCTAACAACAGCCATTACAGCTGGATTCTGGAGACTTCCTTTTCTTTTCAGAGATGGATAACCCGTTGATTTCAATACTTTTTCATCTGCTGCTTCAACATTAGATCCGGACAAGAAAGATGCATCAGGAGGTGCACCCTCTCCTAGCAGCTGCAGATGCTCAATTCGAGAGAGGCACATTAAGATATGCTCCCAAGCTTCCTGAAGATAATTACCATCTTCAATGGCAATTGATATTATTGCCTGACAAAATCAATATTTTGCATCAAAACAACATAAATACAAACGACACCGCAGAAAGACTTAAAACCAAAAAAAGGGACATGCAATAGGCATAACAAAATACAATGCAAACTCTGTTGTCTAAAAAAAAATTAATTTAGTAATCAAAACCATTAAACTGTCGCCGGTTGTCCTGCTTCTTACCAAGCACGAAAAAGGATGTCTTCCCCTTTTCTCTCCCATTTCCTTATGATGACATGCTAATTCAACATCTACAGTGATATAAATAAAATCTTACCTTCACTGCATCAACATTTTTTTGCTTCATATCTGCAGCATTATGGAGATGAGTAAACTTGGCCATAGATGTCACAAAAGCATCTCTTTGGGTCTGCATTCCCATTACTGCAGTAACATGCACTGCATAACGAAATCCCTGTAAGCATTGAGAAGTAGCAAGTTTATCATCGGTCTGGTCAATGGTCATGCTAAACGCAGCCAGCATGGGACCCCAGCAGACCTCAACCATGAACCTCAAGATTGCTGCATCTGTAACAGAGTGATATACAGATCTGCAACACCAGAAAATTCTAATTTCAGCTGCAAGAAGGGAAAAAAATATAAAACAAAAATAAGGGCGCCATTACAGAAACTACAAGCCTAGTAGAGAATTGTCCTCTTCAGCACTAAGTATAGGCTTCTCAACCGGTCATATTTTAGCTACAATGTCATTAGACAGTTGGCATAACAAAAGAAATATACAGAAGAGACTCGTGGAATTTTTTCCTTTTAATGAACAAATGTTAATCAATCACCCAATCCCAACACCCTCTCCCACAACCCGTCCACCAAATTTAATGCCTGATAATTGCACACTTTAACTATTGCCGACCACAACGGTTCTTCACCCATTTATCCTACCATCCAAGGTGGATCATCCCAACGCATGATAAATAAGTTCCATAAGAACCATGGAATGCCTTAGAAAATAGCTTACTCTGATTTCCCTGACTTTGCCTTAAACTGTTCTTGGATGTGCCTTATGAGGAGTCCATTTGCACCCAGTGGCTTTTCTTCTGCCTGCTTCCAAGAAACTAGATTGAGTATACCATCCAAGCCTAATAGCTTATTTAAGCTAGTTGCCTGCTTGCTTTGAGGAGCAGAAGAATCAGCATTCATTTTAATTTCATTTTTCACAATTTTATCATAGACAGTACCCAGATACTCTTCAGGTAAATCTTTGCCATTATCTATTCCACGATTGTTTCGAATGAAATCAGCCTTTGTCATCTGGATGCACCCAATCAGAACAGTTAGTAAAGACCAAAAATCAAAAGATAAATATCTGTACCTGGATAATAACATGAAATCCTACAACAGCCCCATGAAACTAGTTGGATGAAGAAAATTGTACTAAATTTATAGGTATATTCAGATTATCTAAATTTATCCAACAGCACCTTTAATAATATTGAACCAGGAAGACTAGAAATTGTCAGCAATAAAATACAATGAGATTTTGCAACCAAGCATCATCCCAAGGCGAAACTAACATTAACATGAAGAGTTGAAATGTGGATTTTTGATTAAGTCAGAAAAATAACATGTGCTATTGATCCAACAAAGATAAAGAAAATTCTAAAAAGAACAAAAAAAAATCAGAAGGTAGGCAACAATTAGCAAATCTAAAGCATATTTATTATCAAGGGAGGAAAAGAGAAAAATAAGGAAAAGGCAAAGCTCACTGGTCAAGATTGTATGGTCAATGATAAAGGGCAAGAGGTTCTGCAAGCAAACCTTATCTTTCACCATGCTGTTATGGGCATCCGTGTTGAGCATTATCACTGAGTAAGCAAGAACATAGGCTGTATCTGCCCTGGAAAATGAATTAGGATTACATTTACAATAGCGCTCAGCAAACTTTTCCATGATGCGGTCAATCTTCTGTGCTTCTCCAGGCAACCTGAAGCCCCTTAAAAAAAACCTTATCGCTTCACCAAAATCCAATCCTTTAAAATTAAATGAATCTACATAAGCATGCATAACTCTCAAACAAAACTCATCTCTTTCACCCAAATAGTCACCAATCATAGTTTCATTTAGCCCAGTAGTGTTTTTCAAGAAGGCAGCAACTTCTTCTGGAGAACCACCAACTTTTTTGGTGTCTATCAGAAACTCAATGCCCTTGGAGGGTTTTCTATTAAATAGAGATATACCTTTCTGCATTAAACAAAGAACTTGTCACAAAAAGATAAAACAAGCCCCATGGAGCAAGCAATAAATTTAAATAGGAATAATGAAACTGTGGTGGCACAAGAACTACACTAGGGGCACAAGAACTACACTAGGGGCACAAGATATTATCATGATACTAATAAAACAGCAACCTGTGAACAGATCAGTATGCTTTGCATATCAAATATGACAACCATCATTTAAGTCAAACAAAACTCAACCTGTAGTTCAATTTTATAAGCCCGCCGTTGTTCAAGGCTAGCAGCATCAGACATTTCAGAGTTCACCTCAGAATGAAAATCATAGTCAGGGCTACTTGCATCATCCCCAGTTGGGGTTGAATGATTCTCTGTTGAAGCATCACTCTCAGAACTCTTTAGCACATAGGACTCTTCTATTATCAGTTGCTGATCCATCCAAGCACCCATTGACTTTATGATACCAACCAAACACTTTACAGATTCATGCCGGAAAGTAATATCCTGGGCCGAAGACAAAGTTGTTGTTGAACCAGGAGGCGGTCCTAGAGCAGTTTTCAGAAGGCCATTCACAATCCTGCAAATATCTGATGGAATTATAAGGGCTTTAATACATTTTTTAACACAATACCACAAAGATATGACAGGAAGAAACAGCCAACAATAAAAAGTTAAGTGCATGTTTGGTAGAATGTAATTGATTATAATGGTATATGATCAAATGAAAACTCAAAAGAATGGAGTTCATATCATTATATTACATAAAATTCATTATAGTCTACCAAACACACACTGAGCATTCCACACCAATATAGAATCCAACATGTTAGCTTGTTCCAAAATTTAGGGTATAGAAGCATTACATGATCATAATGTAAAGAAACGCCAATCCCTTAATTATCTTAAAGAAAAGCAATTATACTTTCTATCATTCTCTAAATCTCCTTTCTAAAACATGTCAAAAAAACATTAAAGCAGAGTTGTTACCAAAAAAAAAATCCATGTACCCCTAGATTTGCAGTTTTCCAATTTTAACAATATGTACCTTCAACTTTGTCATTGATTTCGACTTTTGCAATCAGCCTAATTGGGTGGGCAATTGACCAAGAGCACTGAAGTTTTCAGAATACATTTCAAAATCCAAATATATCTAAATATTTATTGAACTTTTTTATTTCAAAATATAATTTACAAATTGCAAAAATAACAATAAAGTTCTATAATTAGGTAGAATATTATCAATTTTAAGAAAAAGTAGAGTTTTTATTACAAACATTTAGGAGTTATTGATGTTTGAAGATTTCCCATTCAGGTTCCATTTGAATTTGTTCTCTCTCTCTCTCTCTCTCTCTCATAAAGGTGCATTCATTCTTTCGCCAAGTCGGACTTGTTTTTTCAGAGAAAATATCAACAAATCGACTCCTTGATAAATAGGAATAAAAATCATGCTTGATGTTTAAGAAGTAAAGAAGTCAAAGAGTAGTCAAATTTTCATTTTACCATTCAACTTTCTTAAATTCAAGAAAATAGCACATCAACACTTGCAAAAAGATCAAATTCCATCATGAAAATAAGCACAAGCCAACTAAATTATTAACCTATAAACTCCCAATTTTCTAAAACTTGTGTTGAAAGGATAAAGTTATTATTTTGTTCTACAACTAACTTTCTAGGAATGTTGAGTGAACCAATTATAATTCATTAAGGAGCTTGAATGTGACCCTTTTCCTTTTTTCTTCCTAAGCAATTTCCAATACATACTAATTTTATAATCAAGTAAACACAATAATAAGGAAGCTTTGTTGATTTTTAAGACAATTAAAAAAACAACTACATTTTTAACTTTCATGAAAGCAACTTTGTAAATGTTGTATTATTCATTTGACAAAAATTATTCCTTTCCCCCCTTTAAAATAGCAAAAGGCAAAAATGGTACCCCTGAAATTGCCTAAATCTTTTACCATGAGCCAAAAAAAAAATATGCCTAAGAAAATCAATGCAATTCCTAGGATAATTATCTAAACAACAAGAAGCTACAGCAATACACACACACACATTGAATATTTAAGAGAAAAGATTCCAGTCTAGATTTAATACAGTTAGCAAACATAAAAATACATTTTAGTTACAAGACCATATGAAAACGTCCATTTCAGTAAGTTACATGTTGGTTTAGATTTTTCCAATTTTAAGACTCAAGCTATTATTGTAATTGTCGTCTTTACTGAGATTGGCTTAGGCCTGGTGTCTAAAGTGTTAAGCTGAGTCTAGTCATGTTTTGTGTTGTAACATTGAGACTGGATTAGCACCATAGTATGCTCTATTTCTGTGATTTGGATTTCCAATCCCATAGGTATTAGGAGTTCAAGTGCTTGTTGATTTGGCCCTACTTTGAGTCTATAAATACTATGCTTTATTGATCAGTTTTTTTGTCAAATAAATATTCATGCATTGAACCCTCCTGGATTTTTGTCGCAAAGAATGATGCTAACAGAACCTTGGATGGTTCGATGCCAAATTAAGTTTAGATGTGAAGCCTATATTCTTCTAATTTACTGTTCACAGTGACTGTCCTGCACTGCAAACAGCCCCAGAATTCATTCTTGTCATTTTTGCTTCCTAAACCTCCTAAATTTCTGGTCAATCAAGCTTTAAAATAAACCGAAAATCTAGCTTGAATGATCAGCCTGAAACTGTTCTATGTAAGCAAAGGTGTACAAACCAAAAAACTAAAACTGTAGCTTCCACAAAAATAAGCTCTAGCAAATCTCCAAGTAGAAACTTCCCAGTAGGACAACAAGTGCAAATTGTACAAGGCGTTAATTTTTTACATAAAAAAAATAACACCCAACTACATCAATTAAAAATCCTGAGTCATGATTATAAAATCCCAGCCCACCATAAAACACACAAGGACAGATCTTTCTAACCGATTATTCACATGCAAAATAGAATCCTCTTTAACAACAATAAAATGCAATTAACTATCCAGATTTTTAACGCCTATTAAGTAGAATGAGGAAATGACCAAAATCATGCATGAGCAATACCTTTCATATATGTTTGGAGCATCCACATCACAGTCATAGTTCACGAAAACATCAACTATAAGCTGTGAATCTTGCGCAATCTTCTCCATCAAGTTCAGGACAATCATTTTCTGTAAAAAACTAGGCTGGTTAACATTCTCGAGTACCCTAAGGATGAGCATGGGAAAAAATATTCCAATTTCTGCCTTCAGTCCTGATCTGAATTTCGACAACAAAATCATAAAGATTGAACACTGGAGCTGAAAAATAGCCATAACAGACAATGCACTGTTCTTTAACAATGACAAGCAAAGGTATTGCTTAACAGCATTGAGAAACCTGTACCATGTAGAACAAAATATTGTATTATTACAAACTAAATCATTAGTAGACAGAAAGAAATTACAAAACTAATCACTCATAATGGTAAATTGGTATATAATGTTTGCTAAGCAAAGAATATTGAGTTTTTTTTTTTTTTTTTTTTTTTTTCTATTATCGATGCTTCTTAGAACGCCCATGCTCAGCCCAACCCATCTTAACTTTAATTAGCATCTACCAAATCCTTAATCTAACTTTTGACAGAATATCCATGGCCTGGAATTAAAGTAAAGCTTAATCTCGTGGAGGATCCGAGTAGTGTCGAAAAGTGATGGCCTTGTGGTAGGTAAGAGCCCTGCAGGGAATCTATCCGGGGTCATGCTAGAGTTATCCATCTTCAGCTAATCAATGGCCCATTCACCAATCGTACCTGGATCACTAGAGTATCTGTTGAGCGAGAGTCATCTCAAACTTCAGACTATATGTGCGTGTAATTTACCCAATATGATTATGAGTCACATTTAGACCTTACAACCTACAATAACCACTATACGACGGTTTTTTTCTCCCTCTGCCATTTTCATACACAGCGAGACAACAGCTCACAACTAGTGATAATACTGGTTAAAAAAGCATATGTGTTGTAGAAAATAATAAGTAAAAGTAATTAATAATTGTGGGTATATTATGCAAGATGAAAAAGCTCCAACCATGAAGAAGCTATTCGACGAGTCTATTTGATATTATCTCTTAGACAAATCTATTATATGATTCTTAATATGCCGCGAAAACCACCACACTGAGCATTCCACACCATCATAGAATCCAACGGGACACATCTGTTTCTACGTGTCGTTCTGTTCACATAATACGAAATTGGCTTTAGTTTGTTTTTTTTTTTTTTAAAACAGGCAACGTCATTATCACATCTTTAAGCGTGGATATCGAGTCATAAGATAATATAAAAGCCAATCCCTCAATTTATCCTATATATAACGAGGAAAAGCAATATATTTATTATCTTTACTAACTAATAACTCTGCTATGTACAATCACTCTTATTTCTTATATAGGCATCTATGTAACAAAAAAACAAAATAAAAAGACTAATGAAGTTATTTGATTAACCAAAAAAAATAAAATACTCTAATTTATACCTCTGATATATCCCTTAGTTTTCCAATTTTAAACCAACCTTTCTATATGGTAACTTATCATACGTGGATAATGTTCTATGTATCTGATTATTCGACTATTGCAATCAGCTAATTTGAGCTTTCCGTGGGTGTGCAAATTCAACTCTAAAATTGATCCAACGTTATCTACCTTTAGAGTGTGTTACAAATAACATTTTACAATCCAAATCGTCTGAAAATATATAGCTAAATAGTTATTATATAAAATAGTTACACCAGCCATCTCAGATTGTACTGTGGCAAAGCTTAATGTGATTTTAAGTGTTATCTATAAATGAGCAGACCTTTAACTTATTGATTCACAATTAATATATTGCCATGAAGTAATACTTGAGAAATTTTATGTCCTAGGCTAGAATATTATACTAATTAATTTAAGAAAGAAGAAGAGCATAAGAGGTGGTTCTATGAGAGCAACAAATATCAATATAGTTCTTAATAGTGTGCTATATATGACATATCTCCCATCTCAAGCTGGTTACTCAATCAGAATGTTTTACTCTCTCTTCGTGACGTCCTCTCTCTCTCATTATAATGAGTTTAGCATATCCTCAGTTTCTTTTTCCACGCGATATCGCGGGAATCTGATTTGTCCAGCCACAACATTTGAGCGTGTTTTCATACAGCAGACCAAAACAATCAATTAGGAAAAGTTCGCGTACTTCCTTAGTATATTATTAATAGCGAGATTAGAGAGAGCAACAGCTTGATGTTATATACGACACAAAGATATGGTGCAAAGAGTAGTCAAATTTTTCTACACCAATTTACCATTATCCTGAACCTCTCTTAAAATTCAAGAAAAAGATATGATCATTATCCGACAGCATACAAACATCGTTGAGCAACATATGCACCCATAATTTCTCGCGATCATGGAACTCAAGATGCTATCTAACCGCACCAATGGCGTATCATTAATATAGTGAATTAAAATCGCGTAAGTCTATAACACTAAGCTACCCCACCTAAATTCCTTTCTTAAATAGAACTGTGTCTAAAAGAATAATGGATAATTCATTATACTGTTACTATGTAGAGGAGACTAGACTTTCTGAGGGGAAGTGTGTGTGAAGTGGGATACTCTACGAGAATATATGAACTACTCGTGTATATGGAGGAAGTGTGTGTGTATATGTGTGAGATAGACCCACTATTTCCTTTATTTTGCTCCGACTATACATATCTTATACCTGTACAATACAGTACTAATGTTTTACCCTAAATTCCACCACCACAATCACCTACACGACAGCATATCTGATTTATGTTTTAAGAATTCAATAAAAAACGAAACTACAGTATTATCTTGAGAGATCTCTTTCATCGCAATAGTCAAGACGTTGTCTGATAGACTAATATTATAGTTAAGATCAATTGTTGGTTGCCAACCAGCCAAAGATATACTTCCTCTCTCCTCTCTTTCAAACACTGTCCAGCAACAGGCATGACAACCCATATTAAGGAATTTAAGCAAGTGACGCCCCTTACATTGCTTCTTAAAGATCTTGTTGACCGATGAGCCAATATCTCAAAATACTATTATCCTATATGTGGTTACGCTTGAAAGATACATATATGCAAGTGCAGACTGTCCGCATAGTGCTCAGTAAAAGTATATAGCTATAACAGACAACAGAATGTCCATAAGCGATAATAATCATTCACCATCACCACATACATGGCCCCTGTACTTATATAAATAAGTGAAGAGAAAAAGATATACCATTCATACATTCTATCCAAGCTATTTAGTTCACACACACACCACAAATTACGATATTAGTTACTCTACATGCCAACCAATATCTCCAGTTAATAAACGTTCCTCCCATTTTCAGTAAGTTACAGGTTGGTTTAGATTTGTCCAATTTTAAGACTTCAACTATAATTGTAATTGTCGTCTTTTACTTTGAGATTGGCCTTAGGCCTGGCGTCTTAAAGTGTTAAGCTGAGTCTAGTCATAGTTTTTGTGTTGTAACAGGAGACTGGATTAGCACCATAGTATGCTCTATTTCTAGTGATTTGAGATTTCCATCCCATAGAGGTATTAGGAGTTCAAGTTGCTTGTGATTTGGCCCTACTTTGAGTCTATAAATACTATGCTTTATTAGATCAGTTTTTTTTGTCAAATAAATATTCATGCAGATGAACCCTCCTGATTTTGTTTTCGCAAAGAATGATGCTAACAAACCTATTGATGTTCGATGCCAAATTAAAGTCTTAGATGTGAAGCCTATATTCTTCTAATTTACTGTGGCACAAGGGGACTTTGTCCTGCACTGCAAACAGCCCCAATCATTCTTTGTCATGGTTGCTTCCTAAACCTCCTAAATTTGGTCAATCAAGCTTAAAATAAACCGAAAATCTAGCTTGAATGATCAGCCTGAAAAACTGTTTCTATATTTAAGCAAAGGTGTTACAAACAAAAAAAACTAAAACTGTACTTCCACAAAAATAGCTCTAGCAAATCTCCAAGTAGGAAACTTTCCCAGAGGACAACAAGTGCAAATTGTACAAGGCGTTAATTTTTTACATAAAAAAAATAAACACCCAAACTGACAATCACATTAAAAATCCTGAGTCATGATTATTTAAAATCCCAGCCCACCATTAAACACACAAGGACAGTATCTTCTAACCGATTATTCACATGCAAAATAGAATCCTCTTTAACAACAATAAAATGCAATTACTATATCCAGATTTTTAACGCCTATAGGTAGAAGGAGAAATGACCAAATCACATGAGCATACTTTATATATATTTGCGAGCATCCAACATCCAGTCAATTAGTCACGAAAACATTCAACTATAAGCTGTGAAATCTTGCCGGCCAATCCATACTTCCATTCAAGTTCAGGACAATCATTTTCTGGTAAAAAAACTAGGCTGGTTAACCATTCTCGAGTACCCTAAAGGAATGAGCATGGGAAAAAATATTTCCAATTTCTGCTTCAGTCTGATCTGAATTTCGACAACAAAAATCGATAAAGGATTGAACACTGGAAGCTGAAAAAATAAAGCCAAACAGACAAGGCACTGTTCTTTAACAATGACAAGCAAGGTATTTGCTTAAACAGGCATTGAGAAACCTGTACCATGGTAGAAACAAATATTGTATTATTACAAAACTAAAAAATCATTAGTAGACAGAAAGAAATTACCTAAATACTAATCACTCATAATTGGTAAAATTGGTAATAATGTTTGCTAAGCAAGAATATTGAGGTTTTTTTTTTTTTTTTTTTTTTTTTTTTTTTTTTTTTTTTTTTTTTTTTTTTTTTTTTGGGTTGTTGGGGGGCGCAGCAAGGGTTGTTGCTTCAGCCTATTAAAAGAATCAAAATTATCAAACTAAAATAATCCCATCACCTTTCACCCATTCCTTTTAAATTAATTATGCTTAAAGCACGACAAATGCCAAAATATGAATCTTAAAGTCTTCCAAGCTGAAGATTGATTTCTAAAAAGAAAGTTTATGGAGAATGAAAAGAATATGCCAACTTTAAAAGCAAGCTTTTAGATGAGAAATAACATGATTTTCATTGCTAATTATAATTCAACTTCCTCATATTTTGTCTTCTTTTTTTTTTCTTTGGGTATATAACTCCATTCTTTTTCATTTTAAAGCTTGCATTTTTATTAGTGATAGGCTAAGGATCAACAAACTAACAATTATTAAGAACCTATCTACAACTACAATTACCATTCACAGCATCAACTGCAAATGTACCTAAACTCACAATACAAAAATGAATAATGAAAAGCAGGTTAATAGAGTGTCCTTAACTAAACCTGTTATGGTCCCAAATTTGGATCTA